CTTAACGCACTCGGCCTGGATACTGAGAATTAATAACCACTGCACATATGTTTCAGTTCAGTGCCGTAACTAGAGATTTTAAGCATTGGTATATACTTTTAATATTTTCTATGTAATAAAACATTTTAGATGATTTTTTAATTATTATAACTTTTTAGTAATTTAATTTGCAACGTTAACAATTAATAAATAAATTGATTACTGTAATTAAATTTTTAATTATTTTTATTTATTTATTATAAATTATTATAAATATTTATTCATTAATTTTATTATTTAATATGATTAATTGATTATTAATTAATAATAATAAATTCATTAAATTTTTAATTAATAGAAAATTATAATTAAACTAAAATGGAATTTAAAAAAATTAATTTTTAACTAATTTTATTATTTTTATATTTATTATAAATGACTGTAAATATTTATTAATTAGAGTAGAACGGGGTGAAATAGCCATGGTGCAAAAAAGCCATTGACTTTTATTTGAAAACTATTAAACCGATTTATCAGCTATTTAGAATATAAATACTATCAGTTAATACGCAACTTTTGATACTAGTTTGGATGTTGTACCTATATTAATATAATTTTTATTGTAATTTTAATTTTTTAGTTGCTTTGCGTATAATATTTCGATGAACTTTTCGAACATATTACAACCTGTTTAAGTGAACGGGAAATAAAAGTAAATGTTTGTACATAAGGAGAAAACTATACTCAAAACGTAAACAATGTTAATTTTTGGAAATTGAACTGAATTTAAAATTTATTTTAGCTTTTAGAAAAAAAAAAAGCCAGGGACAAAAATCCTATTGAATATTATGTGAAATTCATTTGTTTTCTACTTAAATTAACCTTCTAATTTTACCAAATTTTCGCGTGCATACTTAATAAAATTAATTAAACACGACGAAAAAATAGTATAAAGTGCGTTAAAAAATAAACAACGAAAAAACGGTTGGAACAAAATATGGCATCTGTGGTGAAATTTAAGGAAGACTTTAAAAAAAGGTACAAAAACTTGGCAGTGTAAATCGAAAACAGGTAAACTTAATATTATATTCAATTTTCCTTGATAAAAGCTCTTTCAAATTTATTTAAATATTTTAAAAATAAGATTATTTGTCATGTAAATAAAGGAAAACTATAAAAATACCAAAATTAATAACATATTTTAATAAAATAGCGAGATGGCTTTCTCCCCCCACCAGGTGGTACAAAAAAGCCATTTGCAGAGGTTTCGTAAAACTCTTATAACTTAGTCCTTTCATGGGATAAAAAATATTTCCGTCAATAATATTCAAGCTTAATAACTAAACTTTCAATCCCATTTGGAAATTTGAGAAAAAAATTTTTAATTCAGATTTTATAAATTAAAATGTAAAAATGTGGCTATTTCACCCCGTTCTACTCTAATTGTATTAATTAATATTATTAAATTATTTTATTAATTATTAATATTATTAATTTATTTTATTAATTAATATTGTTAATTAATTTTATTAATTAATATTGTTAATTAATTTTATTAATTAATATTATTAATTTATAATAATAAATTAATTAAATTTTTAATTAATAACAAATTAAAATTAAAAGTTTTAAAATATTGGAAAGAATAAAAACAAATTTATCGCTAGCAAATAATCAGTCGAGCTGTCTAGTTATTAGACATTATTGCAGTGTCATTGACACGACAAACTTAGAACTATAATTTCTAGGAGTACTTTAAAGTAACATTAAAAAAACTAGACAGAAGTTATGTCTAGCCAATATCAAATTCAACTTGAATCTTTGACGAAGAGCGTTGGTCAGTAACTTTACAGTTATTTACCAGTCCGACTAGAATCAGCGTCCGTGACAAAAACTGTCCAGTAACTTGAACAATCGAGTGGCTCCATGACAAATTTCTACTAGGGAAGTTGGAGATGTCAGTTTTATTGTGAGATGTATGCTGTGTGTGTAAAGCGATTTGTCACGACAGATGGCGGGACTGACATTCGAACTGCTTTCTGTTTTATCACATTCAAAACAAGAAATAGGAAAACCAACTTTTCAAGATGAATTTTATTTAAATCAATTCTAGAAATTGATATTGAAATTAACCTTTTTTAATTTAATCAATTACAAAGACAATTATTAGTATATTTAATAAAATATGAAAAATAAAAACGCAGAAATAAATAAATAATTATACTAAGAAAGATAAAATAGGCAATTTTTTCCCGTTTTTTAAAGTTATTAGAAAATCTACATTTTAGACCAATTCTGGCCAATAAAAATAAACTCCTCCTATTTTCAAAATGCAATTTTTTATTTGTTAGTTGAGTAAAACAAAATGGAGAAAAAAATTAATATTTGAAAAATAAAACATAATACCAACCCCCAAAGAAAAAATAAATGATTTAGACCAATAAGAATTATAAACAAACTCCTTCCATTATCAAAATCAATTTTTCTATTTGTTGCTTGATTTAAACAAAATGGAGAAAAATCTAATATTTAAAAAATAAATCATATTATTCCAATCCCCAAAAGGAAAAATGGATGATTTAGACCAATTAAAATAAAACTTAAACTCCTCCTTCTTAAAGAAACCTTTTTTTTATATGTTGCTTCAATAGAACAAAATGGAGAAAATATTAATATTTAAAAATATAAAATTTAGTCCCAACCCCCACAAGATAAAATGGATGTTTAAGACCAATTAAATTAGCATTTAAACTCCTCCTATTTTTAAAATCAACTTTTCTATTTGTTTGTTCCCAGATAGCACAATACTTTGTAGGAACTTAGCAGGAAACTATCCGCGTTAAGTTCCGAACTTAACGCGGTTAAGTTCCTGCTAAGTTCCCTGAACTTTTAAATGTCCTCCGGTTTAAACTTAACGGTGTTAGCTTCCTGGAAATTATCGATATAAATTTGCTGAAAAATTGCAATGTAACTTCTGTGAAAAATAGAAATTTAAGTTTAAAGAAAGTTTTCTGTGTAACTTTCCATGAAACTAGCTCTTCTAAGTTCCCTAAAAAAACTTGGAAAATTAATATGTATTTATTACTTATTAATACAATAACAATAATAATAATAATAATGAATTTATTATAATTATTTTTTTGTTGACAAAATTAATTATTAATAATAGTAGAGTGGCTCAGCAATGGTTCACGAATCTGATTGGTTAGGGGGCGTGGCTTATTTATAGTTCATGAATCTGATTGGTTAAGGGGGCGTGGCTTATTTATAGTTCACGAATCTGGTTGGTCGAGAGGGTGTGGCTAAGGGGCGGGGATGGGCGTATGTGTAGGAATAGTTCAGAGCTGTGATTGGTTGAATTATGGTTCATGGATCTGATTGGTCGAGAGAGTGTGGCTAAGGGGGAGGGATTAAACGCCCTGTGAGGAATAGTTCAGAGCCGTGATTGGTTGAATTATGGTTCATGGATCTGATTGGATGTGGGTGTGTCTTGAAAAAATAGAAAGTAGTGAGTCAAAGATGGAGTCGGAAAAGTGGAGGTGAAAATTAAAGTGTAACGAAATAAAATACGTAAATTTCAAAAAGGTAAGTTTATTGTACTACTAATTAAATCTATATTACATATTAAGAGAATAAAATTATAAAGTGTATTTTATGAATTATGTGTAATACATGATGTTGTACATGTTTGAATACAATTATGTGTATGTGTGTGTGATGTAGAAGTATGGTTACAATCATGTTTAATTTTTAATGTTTTTTGAAGATTAGAAGCTATATAATCATTTTTTAATAAATTATTTGTAAAAAGTAAGTTAAAGTCGAGAAGAGAATAGTTAAAAGACATATAATAAAGAAACATAATACAAAATTGGTCACAAACAGTCGAAGAGGTACTTTGATATTGTGTTGTGTTCCATCTGAAAAAAGCGCAGTTTCTTCGTAAACAATCCAGATGTTGAGGAACAAAAGGCGGTAGACCATAGCTGTCGAAGTACGTTCCTCGGCCGTCCTTGCTGATGTGTATAGCGACCCAGTGGGTACCAGGTTTAGTGTGGTCATCGGTATTAATAACAATTGCAGACGGTCTTATCAAAAAATGAGGTATTTTATCAGCAGGATAAACTCCAACGGAATGGTTGTTTATGAGACGTAGACACTGTAGTATTTGTAGACTGTTCATTCTTTGATGTATCAATATCCTCGTAATTGGCGTAAGTAGGAGTTGCGGTAGTTGTAGTCGACACTGGTAAGATTTGAAATGAGGTATCTTGACTATTTTTTACAACCTCTGGAATATAAGGAAGAGACGGTGTTGAGGATACTTCGTTGATAATTTTTAATTTTTTAGAACTGCTGTTACAAATAGCTTTATCTTTTCTGTATTTTTCAATTCAGCGTTTAAGCTTAGTAGCGTTATTAAGAGCACAAATAAAATATTCTTCTTTCTTTACACCGTGGTGAAAACAGTAGGCACGACTATCTGGTAGTTCCTTGAAGGAAGGACAAGATAAATTTTCGACATTAATAACTTGTCTACTTATGATTTGTTGTAAAACTTTAATCTTGTCTCGGCCTTTTACGTAAATGTTTCTGGATGTTCTTGCTACTTCACGTAAATTGGCATAAATATGTTTCATAGGTACACCACCATCGAACCATTCAATACCATGATAAAAACACGAAAGCCAATTATTTTGTTGTTTAATGCTGGATGGTAGATCCGAAAATAAGTGTTATGGTGCAACAATCCAATGTCCAAAAAATTTACGATCCAATGCAATAACAGCTACTTCTTTGATCATAAAATTATCCTCTATATCACGAAATCCTTGTATGTCTATAACGTAGTCGACCATTTTAAAAACGATCACGAATTTGTATTTTTGTAGAAACATTTTTCACTTTTGTACCCGACTAGTGTTGTGTGTTCTTTAAAAAGAAAAAGTATACTGAGTTCTTCCTTATATATAGGTTCTGATATAACTGTATTCCCCTTCTCTTCACATTTCCAAAATGTCTTAAGCTCCAAAATCTGTTATAACCTGTCTAGATGCATCAATTTCTAGAACGTTGTCGTATTCGGCATATACAATACAATTAATAGTTTCTTGTAGCATTTCTTCAAAACGTAGTTCTATTCTTAAAGCTCCATGTTTTATAAGATTCCAATGAGAGAAACAATGAGCAGAGAGATCAGGTGTAAGATCAAAGGCAAAAAGGCAGTATCCATTTGCGTAGTCGAAACGATTAATATTATTTCCTTTGTTAAGAAAATGAATACCAGTCCCAGTAAATAAAGTTTGGTAAGCTTCAACATAAAGTTTATCTTTTGAAAAGTCTGTTAATAGTGGTTTAGAAGGTATTTGCATTCCGTCTACGTAGAGTGAAAAGTGGTTGATTTGATAATGTTTAAAGTTGAAAGGGTTTTTATTTCGAGAGCCGTTAAAAGCTGTATTATCGACGAATCCTATAATAATCCTTTTAGGTAGTTGACCAAGTATAACATTATCAAGAGTTTCACTGTGAATACCAGCGTGAAGTGACAAGGCCTTTACCTCTACTCTAGTTATAGGATATTTAGCGGTACCACTAGAGAGAGCCTTGGCATGACCAATTAAAACCCTAGGACTAATTTTTGCTCTACGTACAAGTAAAGAAGCTTCTTCGATGTGTAAGGAAGATACTCCTGTGGGGTCTATTAAACAAAAGGCATCTTTTGAGCTAACAAGTCGTAGTCGTAATTCCACACCGTTAAGTAAAAATTTATCTTGATTAAAAACATCACAATGTAAATGTCCGACCATGTCAATTCTTCTAGAATCACTTAGATATTTTCGACGTTCAACTAAACCTTTATTTTCATCACCAAATTCTTCCATTTTACCAGCAGTGTCGTTAGACCATAACGAAGATGTAAGATGAGTGGTTTTTGCTACGTTATTGTAGTTGAGTAAAGTTTCAATGTAGGCTCTATATGCATAAGCGTTATGTTGTCGGCATTTTCTGCAGTTCTTGCTGGTACAATTAAACGAACTTTGAGACTGATAATAGTATGAGGAAGTTCGATATATTCATCTCCGTGACCAGGAACGACGAATTCTATCGGTGAGTCATCTGTGAGGGATGAAACAGGTTTGTAGTGCACCCATTGTGAACTTTCTATAGCTGTTTGAGTTGGTGGTAAAGTAAAAAGATCCAATTCTGATTTTAAACATTCACAAGAATGAGAATGTAAGAAAGACATTTTATTTAAAAGTTCTTAAACTTTACCAAAAATATCAACTTTTGTTCTTCTTTTTGTTTTATATTTTTTTAAATTTTTTGGCTTCTTTTTATTTTTTCTGGTTTTTTTCCCTTTCTTCTTTTGTTTTTTAAGAATTTTCTTTTTATGATTCAGATTTTTTTAAATCTTTTTCTTTGTTGAATGTTTTGGACCGTCGATGTGTAGTATGCTACGGTTTGCTAGTAACTGAGCAGGTGGTGATAATCCAATATATTTATAACCAGATCCGTTCATAATGTTTTCTACTTTTTCCATTGCTCGTCGTTTTAAATTTCCTCTAGATTCTTGAAATCTTTGTTTCATTGCTTCTTTAAAAGGGACTTTATTTTCAACGTCGTCAATCACATTGAGCCCCGTATTAAATACTTCTCTACCAACAGCTCTTGCTCCACGCGCTAAGAGTGGTAAAACACGTCGAAATAATCCACCAAGGAAACTACCAATTCCGTGACCTCTTTGATAAGGTGATCCAACATATACTTGCGATACACCACCTCTGCCGACTTGTGAAGTGTAATAATTTTCGTAAATAGACATTTTTCAAGTTGATTTTTTTAAAATGAAGTGTCACAGTCAATGAACCAGATTCAAATGGTATAGAAAGTCCCAAGTTGTCTCTTATATCGATTTCTATTGTCCTGAATGTTGTGTTTAAAACAGGTATGTAATTAGGAGTTGAAAATTGAGTCACTTGAGTTGACCCAATAATATAGTTTTTGGTGTCTACAGGTACAACTCGTAATAAAGGTGCTTTAACATCACCCGTAATTCTTGGTTCACATACGTCACAATAAACGAATAACTGTTGAGGTATTCCATATGAAAGGCTTGGAGGTTGACACGCTCTCTGTGTATGTAAAGGTATGAGTTCCAAAGGTTCAAAACCCAATATTCTTGAAATTTTTCTGCTGATTTCTAGAAAATGACGTCCAGGTATGACACATTTCTCAGTACAGGTTTTTTTTAGTAGTACATAACGATTATTGTTATTATCATATTCAAATTGAAAGTGTTCCTTAAGAGAAGGTGTATTATTTATAGCATATAGAAGACTTTGAATATCTTTGTAAATACCTGGAGGAAAAAAAGATACTATAGGTTTTAACCATTCTCCATGAAGTATTTCGTAACCAGTGTTGACATTATTATTGATAGAGTGTGACTTATCAAATGTAAAACTCTTTTTTGGAATTTTTAATGGTAGAGAGTATTTTTCTAAAACTGATAAGCCATTAAATTCCTTATTATCGGATAAATTGAAAAACTCATATTTTTCTTTTGGTTTATCTAATTTACCTTTTTGGATTGATAAAAGCACAATTCTATTTTCTAGTTGAAATTCAGTACGTACATGAAGAAATGATCGTGGGAATTGAATTTCAGTGATGGCTACAACCCATTTTCCTTGTAAACGTATTTCTTGTGGTAGCTGCGTAGTGAAATTTGTAATGGTGTTATTAGGAAAATATTTCATACTACTATCACTAGGTAGTAGAATATAAAACTGGTCGTGGTTCATTCTAAAGATTTTATGTCAGAAAACGGAATCCAAGAATTAAATTTAGCCGGATAACCAGCCCACTTTACATAAGCTTCTTTTCTTAAACCTCTTCCGCGGGTATGTATTATTTTTTCAACAATAAACTCGTCATTGTTTAAGTCTTTATTTTTAACATCAGCTAACACTGTGTGACAAAATAAAAAAAGTTGCCAGCACTTTTATAGAGACCTAGTACAAGTCGTAGGTCTAGTAAAACTATGAACAATGATGTGTGAGAAATTCCCCCAACACCCCCAAAATTTAATTTTAGGGGCAAAAAACCGTTTTTGTGTTTTTATGTAGAGAATTATACGTAACTTCCGTAATTTTCAACCGATTTTCAAAATTGTTCTTTTGTTTGAAAGGGGAAAAGCACACCTTTTCAACCGTGTCTTGCACGTTTAGTCAAAATAAAAATTGACAAAACCGCGGTTAAAATATTTGCGATTTAACGATTTTCATTACATTTTTTCAACTTTAACGAGCTTTTTAGAATAATATTCGAATTTACACATTTTTTTCATGATAATTTCTTAAAAGTATACTTAATTCTGCGTAAAATGAGCATTTTTTAAAAAAAAATTTAATACAAATTGAAGGAGATACGTGAATTTTAAGATTTTAAAATTTTTTCGCTAAATTTACAAATATTTCAATTTTGTTGTGGAATTTACATCAGGGCACTTTAAATTTTGTATTCACTAAATTTAATTGATTAACTGAAACGGCATGCATGTCAAACTTGTTTTTGATAGATTTAAATAAAGACAGAGTCCGTATTTAGAGGGGGTCCGGTTAAATTTTAACTTTTCTATAATTTATATTGTTTAAGTGTGTCAATGTTTTTCAAACATTATTTAGGATTAAAATCTATTCTATAATCTTCAAATAAAGAATAACAGATAATTATTTGACAATTTATATAAGAATGCCTTAAAATTTCGTAAAATATAAATTTGAACTTCTACCACATTTTTTAATTATTTTTTATTGTCGAACTTTTCATATGCTTTTTTCGCAATACTGAACAATTTTATTAATTTTGATAACATAGAATAGATTTGAATCCTAAATAATGTTTGAAAAACATTGACACACTTAAACAATATAAATTATAGAAAAGTTAAAATTTAACCGGACCCCCTCTAAATACGGACTCTGTCTTTATTTAAATCTATCAAAAACAAGTTTGACATGCATGCCGTTTTAGTTAATCAATTAAATTTACTGAATACAAAATTTAAAGTGCCCTGATGTAAATTCCACAACAAAATTGAAATATTTGTAAATTTAGCGAAAAAATTTTAAAATCTTAAAATTCACGTATCTCCCTCAATTTGTATTAAATTTTTTTCAAAAAATGCTCATTTTACGCAGAATTAAGTATACTTTTAAGAAATTATCATGAAAAAAATGTGTAAATTCGAATATTATTCTAAAAAGCTCGTTAAAGTTGAAAAAATGTAATGAAAATCGTTAAATCGCAAATATTTTCAACCGTGGTTTTGTCAATTTTTATTTTGACTAAACGAGCAATACACGGTTGAAAAGGTGTGCTTTTCCCCTTTCAAACAAAAGAACAATTTTGAAAATCGGTTGAAAATTACGGAAGTTACGTATAATTCTCTACATAAAAACACAAAAAACGGTTTTTTGCCCCTAAAATTAAATTTTGGGGGTGTTTGGGATATTTCAAACATACTACTTTTTTCAGTTTTTCAACACGAACAAGTTAGGATAGGTCCGATTTAAAGTGCCATTTTACTGTCACACAGTGTAATTCTTGTTCGTAGAAAACACCATCAATTTTTTCTCCAGATAGATCCTCTAGTTCATAAACAGTGGGTGAATATTCTCTCCAATTTATAACATGCGTTATAACAAATAATTCTTCTGTCCATCCAGCTTCATAACCTTTCTCAAAGGTTCCTCTAGCGCGACTGACACGTACCAAATCGCCAACGCTGTATTTACATCTTTTTTTAGCATATCTCTGTATCGGGAAGCGTTTTCGAATATTTTCACGTGCTATTGACGAGTTGTAGAATGTAACATCTGAAGGACACATATTTATGCTAGAATGATGTGTATTATTGTAAGCAGTAACTAAATCTTGTAAGACATCTATATAACAATGTGTATTTTTATGTGTAAAATATCGCCACATACGTTCTTTTAAGGTTCTGTTGAACCGTTCTACCACAGCTGCTTTTATAGTTGGATCTCTAGCAACTCGAAATTTTATATTCTTCTTCATTAAAAATTTCTGAAAAGAAGCACCGAAAAAATCTTTTCCCTTATCTGTTTGAAGACATAACGGTATACGATTTTTATTATTTCGGAGAATTCGTTGAAAGCCATTTTTTACATCTGACACTGTTTTATTGTGTAATGGTTCAACCCAGGCAAACTTACTTAGTACATCGATTACAACTAGAAGATAAGCATAATTTTTGTTCGTTTTTTTTAAAGCTTGTAAATCCACCAAGTCAGCCTCCCATAAACTGTCAATAGTGTCAACATTATAGAAAGCTCTAGGAAAACTTTTTCTTGTAGGTCTATGTAAATTAATAAGCATCTTGTCCTTTTAGCCAATCTACAACATTTTGTTTATTTGCTTTACCGTGTACTAATTTTACAATTTTATTTGCCCCAGAGTATGAAGCAGGGTATAATGGATCGTAATATATTTCATGCAAATTCTCCATTTTATATTCTAATCAAAAGAAAAAGGTAACCAACTAACTTTTACAATTTTTTTATTTTTTCCTTCTTCGTTATCAGACCCTGTAGAATCGTCGTCAGTAGTAATGTCTTCTTTCAATTTTAAATTTTTTGATTTAGTTGTTACTTTTTTTCTCCATATTATTTTTCTGACTTTCCTAATGTCGAGGAAAAAATGGCTGACAGCAATGTTCCTAATATTGGTGAAATGAGAAACGGTAGAAAACCGTTACCTTTTTGAAGAATAAACTGTTTTTTAGTTTTCCAAGAACCTTTTCTCTTTGTTAACTTTCTCAAAGCATTCTTGTGTTTTTTTAATTTTAGTTTCTCAC